AAATATTTACTGACGAAAATCCGAAACACATAAGTAATAAAAAAGCTTCAAAACAACAAAAAATAGAAAAAAAGAAGAAAATGCTTTGTCAAACAGCAGCTAATTTTTAAAAATTTATAAAAACCACTCAAAATGGCCGCAATCATTTTCAATGCAAACTTCGCATCTACGGACGACAGTGTGCACTGCACACTGTACGGCACTTTGCTGATGTGATTTTTTGGATGCTTTAACAAAACTTTTTCAGAGAGTAGCTTTGTCGTTAACGGGCTTAGCATAAACCTTTCTGTACATTGTACAAAAAAATCTAAGAGTGTCAAATTGATGCTAAGAATGGCTGATTTTTATAGCAAAATACCATTTTTATTATAAACACCAGCACGGTAAAAGTTACCTCTTCAGTTCAAATTACCCTTCGAGATTAAAAAGCATATTTTCTTATTTGCCCCAAGAACCACTTTGAAAATTTTCTTTTTGTGGCAAGTCTTCACACTGAAAGAAATATTGGTCATAATATTAATGAACGATGGTTATTGACATTTTTTATTGAATCAATGAATTCTTCGTTCACTCAATAAATTTTCGCTCATAGAGTAAATACCTTATTCGTCAATATTATGAGAGCACATTCATTACCATTAAAAAATCTAATCATCAAATTAATGAACACTTTTACTTGACTCAAAGAAGTTTTTTATTATTGCAATAAAGTTATTTATTGTTATTGAATTAAATTATAATTGTACTTTACATGGTATTAATGACTATTTTTAATTAATGTAATAATTATATTTATTAAAGAAGAAGTTTCATCCATGCAATGTATTTAAATTATAATAATATGGTTGTTTATATTAATGAAGTAAATTAATTAACCTTATGTCATTATGTTCATTATTCACACTTCCACCACAGAATAGTGTGCTCCCACCAAACTTGTACAGTCTGACAAGGTCATCAAAATCAAATGCCAACAGAAGAGCAAAGAATAAAGCCTTGTTAACAATTAATATTAAGCAGTAAAAAAGTGTTTAAGGTTTTAAAAAGCAAACAGGTAAGATATGTAATAATATTTTATTGTCTACAGACTATCTGGCCGCTGACAAACGTTGCAACAGGTCAATAAAGGAATTATTGGTTAGTTTTGACAAAAATCATCGATTTTTCCCATCAATAAATACTAAAAGGTTAGAATCATTCCCCTAGTGCTGTAATAGACTTGTAAATAAGAAAACAATTTCTGTAAAGATTTATATTTTATTTCAATTTAATTTAATATATAACTCATAACTTATGATTCATAAGTTCAGGTTATTCCCGTATGAATAGGACACACTCCGGTAAAATCCCTATTTGATCCTTTTAAGAGATATAAAAAAATCCCTCTTGCATGTTTCAAAAAATTATTAAAAAAAAAATAAATAACAAAAAAAACGAAACGATTTTTTTTTATAAAATAGCATTAAAAACTGAAATAAAAACTTTTAATGAAACAGTAATTAAATTATCATGAGCATATTAAACTGGGAGCAGGCGTGGGTTTCAGTTTATTACTCTGTTGATCAAAATTTTAAAAATGTTTTTATTCCATGTTATTAAGCGTACCTAAATACTTCGGTAATGCCTAATTTAATTTATGTATCCTTAAACATTTTAAAAATATTTATCAAAAACCATTTCCTGAAGTTAACTTTAAACGCCCTGTATCTCGCTCAGGGCCGGGCCTAAGGGGGGTGTAGGGGGGGAGTCACCCCCCCCAAAGTCTTGGCAGTTGGTTCCAAATCCAAACACGGTTGGCAAAATCTATAGTATTTGGGTCGGTTGGTTGGGTATACCTACCCTACCAACCAACCCATCACAATAAATAAAATGAAAGATAATTTAACTTTACCTACATATTACAAAATTATAATTTTTAATCTATTGTAACCTCCTATAATCGTTACCGTCAAGAAAATTGTATTGGTCAACCTTATTTTTATTAAAGGACATTATATTTCACACAAGCGGCATGTACAAAGTCCGCACCGCCTCGCGGCTTTGTCTTTCTAAATTATTAATTAGTTGAAGCTTATCTAAGATAAGTAAAACTAGTGTCAATAAATAGGAATTATTTTTTTTAATATGGAAATGAAAGCTAGACCGGGCCGAGTTCTAGTAAAATGCTCATTATGTGGATCTGTGTTTAACAAGGACTAGAAAAAAATGCACGAGGAAAATATTCACGGTGGAAATTTGGTTAAAATTAAAATTGTTACTGTTCCGGATAATCCACTTACATTGGTAGCAAATAAAAAAAATAAAGACTTCAAAAGAGCATGCTAATGGTAGGTAAAGACATTCTTTATCTACACTTTACAACACTTTACATTCATGATAAAACTACTGAAAATTTTTACTATTACTACTAAAGTATCGATAAAAAAATAAGTTGTTTTTTTTATCGTCTCCACCCCCCCAAAAAAGTGTGCCTCGGTACGCCCCTGATCTCGCTTATAAATTGTTTGCGGACCCCATGATAATAGGAACTTTTTTTCTTAAAATTGATTATTTTATCAGCTGTCTTGGGTTGTAAATTTACATACCGGACACCCTGTACCTATATATAATATGTATTACATATGCATTTTTAAATATTAAAGGTCAAAAGATATGTTTCCACAAATGGTAATAGAGATATTTATCTTTTGTCCTTTATTATTTAAAAATGCAAATGTCGAGTTTTGCATTTAGACGTCTCATAAATTTATATATCCTTTATTAGGTTTATTAAAATATTAAGGATATTAAAAATATACAAAATATTAAAACTTTAAAAAATATTAAAACTTAGTAATAAGAATATGTAAAATATAAAAAATATTGGAAATATTAAAAATAATAAAAATTAAAGTTAAATGTAAGAATCTTACTTCGCCCCTATATTTGTTTTTTTATAAGCGAAGGTTTTAAAAATGATTTTTTGTTTTACAATGAGTTAATAAGTAATAATTACAATCGGAATAAATTTATAATTTACCATAGTTTATTTTTATACATTTTTATACATATTATAAATCTATGAAGAAATCTATATAGTCTTCTTGGTTGTTTGATTTTTAATACTCCTGTTCTGTTGAAGATCATTCTGAGTGAATGACTAGACGCAAGTCAATAAAAGTCCATCTTAAAGTTTTTGTTGTAAATTGTTTTTTGTTTGTAATATTTAATTAAATTAATCGCAAAATAGTCAGATTAAAATTGAAATAAGCCGTAGATACATAATAAACATTTTAAGATCAGCAAAGCACCATGTTATGCTTTATTTGTAAAATTGACCATGAAAATGTAGATTCCCTTATTAATCATTTTAAACGTTTCCATGGTCTAAACTCTAATTCCACATTCAGACGTACATTCTACTAGTCAGCTTTCTAGAAAATGCATCTTAAATGATAGTTCTGACAAAGTAATAAATAAAACCAAAAACTTTAATATTCCATCAGCAAGTTCATTACAACGTTCACCAATTGAAAATAATAATTAATAATAAACTCTGAATAATGTTTACTTTAACTTCATAAGAATGATAATTTTTCGAGAAAAGATGTGGTTAAAATTCAAGAATATTTTAACCATCACCTACTTGAGCCGTTATAATACATTTATGGCTTTTGCAAGATGCAACTTTCAATATAACCAATCAACTTTGTTCACAGAATTTTGCAGCATAGTGTCAAATTGAGATCCATTTAAATTTTTGGGACAGATTATTTATTTTAAAAATATTTAAAAAGTGAAGGATTAATTGAAAGTCTTAAAGAGATTACTATATAAACTGGTATATTTTTACTTTTTTCTTAACTTTTAAAATAAATTTTAAAACTTTTTAAAAGTTTTCAATAATTTTATATAAATAAATATTTGCATTTTTAATACTCCAAAAGACCTTCTAACCCAGGGATACTCAAACTCTTTGCGACCGAAAGCCACAGTAATTTTTATATAAAAAAGCCCAAATAATGTAAAACACTTTTTTATAACGTTTAAATGTTGAGTTTTATTGTAATAAAGGTCGTTGCGGCCCGCCTGAGGTAGCACTCATACATATATGGCCCAAGAAAAAAAAGTTTGAGTAAGGCTGTTCTAACCCATTGCAATGCTGGTGCGCTGTTTTCAATACAGTTTTGCACAATTCAAAACCCCAATAAATAATTGTGTATTTTAATAATACCACTGACATTTTTAAAATGTGTAGTATGATTTTTTCAATCATATTAAAAAAATTGAACATTTTTTAATACGTTTATAATTGAAAAAGTGGCACAGTCTTAAACTGTGAAGAAAATTTATTTCTTTCTCCACGGTTACTGTCCAATGAGACGACGAGATTTTAATTTTCTTCACTGTACTATTTATCATTACTATGATGATTATACGGTGGTTTATTATTATTTTTTAAATAATTGACACTGACATTTGTCATCAAATCTGAATCAGATTATCTGATTATGGTAATTACACAAAATTGTACTTAATTTTTTAATAAAATTTTAAATAAGGAATAGCCATTTTCATTTTTCCTTTGGCTCGCAAAATTGAATCCTTATGGTAATGGCCAATTTTCTCAACCGTGAAACAATATACCATTGTCATTTTAATTTTTAATATTTTTGGTAATTTTTACACTTGTGTTAACTTTGATAATTTTATAAAAAAGTTAAGAATTAATCACAAAAGTCAATCTAAAAATTATTCATTAGATGTCAACAGCTTGAATAAAAACTTTATAAATTAACCAATGTGAGACAACCAATATATGATATTCATATTCTGTACATTAACCAATTAACCAATATAAACATAAAAATTAAATTAAAAATAAACTTATAAAGTTAAAAAATTAACCTTAAATATAAAAAAAACTTTAATTAACATTCCCTACTTTAATTATGTAAAAAAAGAAATTTAAAAATATTAAATATAAAAACTAATATAAAATTAAAGTTTAAAAAACTTACGATATTTATCACCAAAAAACTATAATTATTATTACTTAACTAAAGAGATTCAAACTGCAAATATGTAGGTATTGTTAGTTTGTGGTATTAAAAACTTTCACTGTTAAGGGTTTTAGTATTGTCACATATGAATACGTTTAAATTTCCTTTCCCAATAAAAATGCATAGCGTGTATTTTAGTGTAATACTAGAATAATAAACTTAATTAACAGTCCCAAACTGTGACCATAAAGCCGTTTCGTGCATACAATACAAACAAAAACGAATATTATAAACATTTATTTTTTAAGTAATATTTTAAATTTACCAATTGTATATTGTATTTAACTATGTAGGTACAGGTACATAATAAAAATTTATTTAATAGCATATTTAATGGAATGGGTATACTAGGGTGCTTCATTTTATAGCGACATTTTTTTCCCCACCTGAAAATTTTGGTCAGAAAACAAAAAAATTGAGCTATTACAATGCTCTCAATCCTTATTTTAAGCCGTTGCTATTCAATTTTTAAATTTTTCACTTTAAAAACCATTAATCTTTACAGGATGAAATTATCTTCAAATGTGTCCATTTAAGCAAATCTGTAAGTTAAATATGTTCTTCACAAATTGCCGTTCTACTCGAAAATCTTCTAAAATAGCAGTAAATCGTATTTGGAGACTAAACTATTGATTGTAGATAAAAAACGTAAATGACAATTTTGTAGGGAATTTTGTGCCCTACAAACTTGTCAAAAAATAGTTTTTCTGTATCACTTATAGTTTAGCTTGTACAGCCACTCTTTCACGTAACTCTAATAGTATAGTATACAGTGGTCAGAAACTGAATTTTTAAGAATTTGGTAAACAATAGGGGTATTGTTTAAAATCTTTGTTAACTCATTGATAACGTTGAGTGTAGATAAATCATTAATGTTGTTGATGGGTCCAGCTGTAGAGTGAAAAGCTCGAGGAGTGGCTGCAGGATCTTCTGTTTTCTATTTTTTAGCTGGAGGTTCTGAGGCGTCACTTTTAAGGGTGTTTATGGTGTTGGAATAATGCTCATCATCCATTTGCAGATAAGGCTTAATTGAGTTGGCTGAACTGTGGCCAGTAATTTTAATTAATTGTTGTTTACCCACCCCTCCTTTAGCCAGATTACTGACTGCTGTCGATCGCATAGATCGCATAGAATTTAGCGGGAAATATTAAATTTAACCTACCCTGCTTCAAGCTTTAATAGCCCACCGTTCGATGACCCCATCGTCCGTTTGTTACAAAATTAGAGATGAGTGAAAATATAAATAAATATACAGGGTGTCCCTAAACTTAGTGGCATAAATTTAGGAGCAGATTAAGCAAGTCAAAATAAGACGAAAATCTAAATAAATATTTTACTTTATTACGTATGTTTAAAAGATAAAGTGTTACTTATCATATAAGTTTTTTAATATAACCTCTACTATGGTAGTCTTGGAAAAGTAATATTTTGCGAACAGTCACTTACTATAGTAAGTGACTGTATACCAAAACACATACTCACACATACTTATAATTGTTCGAGTGAACATAGTGTCGTAGAAAAAGGGGTTGCTTAAGCTTATTGTCCCATACAAACTTTGTGGTTAGGTTTTTATACCATTTGATGCAATTTTTGGATTACTCAGTTCGGCTGCTATAGCTGGCGGAAACGATAGTCCACCATTTGTGGCGACCAATTGGTTAGCCCCTGCGCGGTCAGCTATTTTCTATCATTTACTCCTTTCTGAGGTTTTTTATTCAAAGCCTTAAACAAGCCAAACATGGCTTTTATCTTAAAAGGGCGCGTTTACTTATAAAATTCATTTTGGAAACGGTCATTTCGGGAACGTCCCCGGACTTGACGGAGCGTTCTTGAAATGAATGTCAATTAATTTAGCGTATGTTCTAAATAGATTTAAATACATGTTTTATTTTTTAGCAAATATGGAATCTTAGGAAGTTAAAAAAAAAATAAAAAACTCCCAACAAGGCAACTTATAAAAAATGGTTCAGCTTACATGCGGCAAAGAGAAAAAGCTAATGTCAGAAAAAGGACATTTTTAGATAAGATGACAGAAGAAGAGAGAGACATTAAAAGGGCTAAGGATAGAACATACTATCAGGAAAAAAAGCTGAAAATAAAGTTAAAAACATTGCTGAGATGACATAGAGAAAAGCGAAAGCAGAGAAAATTTTGAAAGAAGCATAAAAAAATACAGAGAAAAGAAGAAAGCATTATCAAGTATAGTAAACGAGACTCTGCCCCACCTATGATAATTTAGCTGTAACACCATCAGAAAGAAAAACAGTGGGAAGAAAAATTGTGCGGAAGGATAGAGCCAAAGCATCCCGTAAAATAAAACAACAGAAGAAAATAATTGCTGAAATTAAACGTAAATATGAAACTTTAAAGAAAAGACTAAAAAGAAAAGAAAAAAGAGAACAGGAGAAAGCTCGGGTACCTACAACTCCTGCAAAGTTGACGCATTGATAAAAAATTTCGACGTACCTCCGGAAGTGCGCAAGAATATTTTATTTAACGAGGTATTGACTACGCAATAAAAAAGCCAGTACTTTGAAAAAAACTCTAAAGGGAAGGAAATCTTTTATAAATGTGTTAGCGGAAATATGGTAAGGGAATACAAATTGCTTCACATGGCTAAGATTTTTTTGCCAAAAGAGAGAACCAGTACATCGATTTTAAAGTCTGATACCAAAATTCGTGAGGTTGTGTTGAAGTCAGGAGTTCGTCAAAAAGTTATAGATTTCTTTCAAAGAGATTATGTCAGTAGGATGTGCCCAGCCAAGAGAGATTTTTTGAAGAAAAACGTTATTAAGAAACAAAAACACCTTCTTTTATTCTTCGTTAAAACATTGACTTCAAAATTCGTAAGCGAAACCGGAATAAATTTGTCTTATGCGACATTATTAAGAGCAAAACAATTAACCAAAATTAATAGACAGAATCTTGTTTATGTGTCAAACACGAAAATTTCGAATTTAAACTTAACAAATTAAAAAACTTACAAAAGATTAATCACGGAAGTATAGAGAAAAATATCGAGGATTCTAGTTGCCACATAATTTTTTATGACTGCATGAAGGGTTTGCGTAACAAATGTAAAAATCCAACGCTTGAGCCAGCAGATAATACAGATTCTGTGACAAATTTTCAATGAAAGTCTGTTTTTGAGGAAAAAACTGTAAAAGGCGAGAATAAGACATTCAAGATCACAAATAAGGTTGAAATTTCAAGTACAGTCAAATAATTAAAAATGGCTTTTATTGAAGATATTCCAGTTATAAAAAACAGCTGTATGGCATTTATAGTTATAATAAACTAAAAAACGAGTTAAAAAAAATTAACTGAAGAAGAGGTAATGATAGAAATAGACTTTTGAGAGAATTACACAACTAAGTACGCAAATAAAATCCAGTCGACTAATTTCGCAAAAAATAAATTTTCTATTCACACAGGCGTATATTATATACGAAACGTTGACCATGGTTTGCAATCTGGATCTTTTGCTACCGTGAATGAAAATTTGGATCATCAAGCCCATGCGATATGGGCTCATATAAAACCGATCCCACAAAAAATATTAAAAAAAAAGATATTAACATCCTTCATATCTACTCTGATGGTCCAACATCACAGTACCGCAACCGAAGAAATATACATTTTTGGCTACAAACATTAACACGTTCGCTACCGACGGGCAATATTTCGTACGCAAGGTGAGTTTACAATGCACCGCGGACAATACATTGCAAAAATTTATTCTGAACTCATTTGCCCTGGCGGTCCATTTTTCGAGCTGGAGTCGGTTACAGGTCTCTACGTATATTATATGGAGCAGGTTTCTGTAATTTTGTTGAAGCTTGCAATATATTGCACGGCGGTCTATTTTGAGTGGGCTAACCTACAATAAGTTTCCATTGCAAATACCAGGTCTTTTTTCCCGTATTAAGTCTAAACCACAGGCCATAAATTCAAAAATGAGTGATTTTGATTCTTTAGATTCAGATAAAGAACCGTAAGTAACTTTTTTTATTTGGTAGATAGATTGTTTAATAAGTATTTATGTTATTTGCAATTAATAAAATCAAATACTGCATAAAATAAAATAAAAGCCGACTTAGGTAATTGTTTTTTTAGGATAATAGACACGTTTTATTCGGCTAGATCTTTAAATACACTGCTTACCTGTTTGGCGTTCTATCCTTGTTATTTTCACGCGGGTATTGAACAACCGTCCTTCCCAACCCGGTTGGACTTGGATTTGCAAGCACTGTATATAAAAAATATTGGCATTAGATCGCCCATTTTCTGCTATTTCAAATAATATTTCTGCAATTGCCAAGAATTTTCAAATATTGTTTTAGGAATGTTTTATATGCGTAAAATATATCTCATTATTTCAATATATTTTTTAGGAATGTTTTATGTCCGTAAAATATAGCTTATTATTTCAGGGTTCCCAAAGTAAAAAAAAGAAAGGTTCTACCAAAGGACCGCAAAAAAATACTCACAAATACAGAACTTCTTGAGGCACTAAATGATTCAAGCTGGGATAGTTCGGAAGAAGATCCCTATCAAACAGATGGTTCTGGCGACAAAGACTTCGTTCCAAATGATTCATCAGACACTAACACATCAGATGAACTATCTGTATGTGAAAATGAAAAGGAAGAATCAAGTTCTTATGAAGATGAACTGCAAAATCGGTCGTTTCAAAATCGGAGTACCGTATATGACAGCGATGAATGGACTGATACGGAGAATGATATTGACGATGTGCCTTTTACTGGTATACCATCAATAAATTTGAATTTAACCGACCAGTCTAAACCTTTTGATTATTTCACCGCACTGTTTGACGAAAATATCATTGATATGATAGTAACTGAGACGAACAGAAGAGCTGCAGATAAATATCGCGATAGAAGAGCAAGGAAAACCAATAAACTCAAACTGTGGAAAGATGTGACCGTCGATGAGATGAAAAGTTTTTTGGGTTTGTGCTGCCTTAGTGGAAATATAAAATTTCCATCCATGTCATTACAATGGAGCAGAGATTC